ACAGAGTTTGACAACGGGACAGCCCATGACCCGGATGCAAGGCGCCCAGCGCAAGCATCGAAAGCACCCAGTGCACAATGACAAAGGAGAGAGACCGAGGAGTCGGACGAGGTCTTCAGACCGTACCTCAACACGATTATATCCCCCTTTACAACTCTGGTGTTGAGGCGCCCGCTGCCAAGCTTGTGAGGGAAGGGCTCGTACACGCAACAAGGATCGACTGCAAGCATTCTGTCGTCCAATTCATGTCCGTGCGGTCATACGTCCTTTCATAAGGATCAAAGCACAGCCGTGAAGCATCATCTGCCAGGTCCGCTCCGGAGGGACCCGAGTGTGCCAATGAGTGGCTTCAAGTGCTATGTCCAAAGACTATGAGTCCAGATGGGTGGCGGTTTTGCTTAAGATCCTGCCAGAGTGGGTGAAAAGTCCTGCGGTGGAAGGTGTGGCTACTGGTACGATCCGATCCATAGCTTTGTTGGAAGAAGTGTACAACCAAATACAACCTGGTGGAAAAGAGGAGCAGGCATCCTTGACTAAGTTCGTGCGTGGCTTGGAAGCGGTGAATACTGCCCAGGAGGCTACCACTGTTTTGCGGCGGTGGAAGTTGGCCAAGGGCAGGGTGAGTGCCCTAGGTTTGCCTGAGGCGGCGCCGTTTGAGACCATGCGGGGCCTGCAGAGTTTGGTTCGGGTGTTAGAGAAGAAGCACGATTCCTTGCGGACGCGTTTGGCTTTGGCGAGGCTACATCCTGCAGTTCAAATGGGGCAGTCAGCGGGAGTGGAACACCTGCTGAGTGCCATAGAAACGGAGCTCAGGACTTTGGCTGCAGAGGAAATTTCCAGAGGTGTCCATGTTGGGAAAACTCCAGGAGAATCGGAGGTCAACAAGGGCAAGGGCAAGGGTGCTGGAAAGGCCAAGGAAAAGGGCGCTGACAAGTCAACGACGCCCTGCCCATATCAGCATGGACCTCGAGGATGCAGTTTTGGAGATCGCTGTTTTTACAAGCATACTGGCAGCGCAGGGGCCCCGCAAAAACCAGGGCCCAGCAACCCAGGAGCGAAGTCAAGACAGGACACCAAGAAAAAGTGTGCGTTTTTTGACAAGCCCGGCGGATGCAAACTGGGGGATGCTTGCAAGTATTTGCATGAGAAAACGGAGAAGACTGAAGCAAAGTCCTTGGTTGGTGCAACGGGGAATCAAGCCGCCACAGCGCCTAAGGCTAAAGCCAAAGCAAAGCCGAAGGCTTCAGCGGTGTGTTCTTCGACGTGGAGTTCGCGGGCGTCGATGGCAACAAGTGGCGCTCAAGAGCACGCAGACACAGACCAAGCACACAGCGCTCCAGAGCATGCAGATACAGATCAGGCACACAGCACTCCAGAGCAGGCAGATACAGATCAGGCACACAGCACTCCAGAGCCTACAGTTTCAGACATGGGTCCGACAACACCGTCGCTTTCGCAGATAACGGCGATATCGGTAGCTGCACAGAGTCTCTTGTCTTCTGATCCCACGCCGAGTGTCAGGACCATGAGCGAGGCAACGGACGAAGTGGAAGAGGCAAGCGAAGAGGCAGAACAGGAGACTACGCGGAGGCCGCAGGTTGCCCTGTGGATGCTAATCCTAAAACCTGGAGAATATCGTTTCTGGGGACAAATGGGCGGCAGTTGCACTCTGAGCCGCGCGGAGAATGCGTGGCGCCGGATGGAGACACCATTTAGCATTGCTGAGTGTATCATGCACGTGGTTCGCGAAAACGATTTCTATGTGCCCATGTCGGATGTGCATATTGGGGAAGCCTAGCGGATAGTGCAGTTGGACAGGACCTACGTGCAATGCGAGGATGGCGTAATAAGGCCGGCGTACGTAGCTTGGTGCATTGACCTGGAGGATGCTAACGAGGTTTTCTTTGTGGCATTTGAGGGCCTTGTGCCGCCCGTTATACTGCCGTGGTCGGATACCGGGAGCGGGAACCAAGGAGGCTTATCCAAGGCTGCGCCGCCGAAGGGTGGTCCGTGGCTACCCAAGGCGCCCACCGTGCCGCCACCTCCGGCAACTGCTGATGCGGCTGGACTTCCGGGCGCGGCGTGCCCCAAGAATGCCAGGGGACCGCCAGTCAAGAGACCTCCGCCGCTACCAGAAGTGACAAGTGCCGATGTGGTGGGACTTCCAAGCGCGGCGCGCCCCAAGAATCCCAGGGGGCCGCCAGTCAAGAGACCGCCGCCGCTACCAGAGGCAACGCAATCGACATCGTCTTCGAGCTCAAGTGTCAATCAGGTGACCGCTGGAGACACGCATGTGGAAAAGGCTGTGTTGCTGGATAGCGGGGCAAATGAAATTGTCAGACAAACAGATAAACGGCCTGGGCGAGCGTCCAGCATGGATATCACCCTGGCGGACAACACTGTGGTGCAAGCATATCGTACGAGAGATGGCGAGGTGCTAGTGCGAGGACGTGGCAAAGAAGTCATCCTGGGTTTGTGCCGGTTTATTGCTATAGGCTGTGTCTTCACTTGGGACGCTTGTGGCGCCCGCTTGCAGCTGCCGCCCGAGTGTGGCTCGGCGGTCGAGTGGCTGTCAGTGGAAAATGGGTTGCCGTACCTGCGCTGGGAAATCTTTGCGAAACTGAGGCCATTGTTAACGCAGTGGTACAAAGGTGCAAGTCGTGCATTTGTGGGCGTGGGAGCCGACATGGTCAAATCGCAACCGCAGCACCTACCAGACGCCGAGGTTGGATATGTGGCGGAATTCCATGAGATCCTAAAGGCCGAGGCAGAGGGGAACGCAATGGTGCTGGCAACACGGGAAGCGGTAGAACAAGATGAACGGCGGGCGCTGGGACTCCTACAAGCGGGCAGCGAAGCCTGGACCCATGAGGCGATGAGCAGCCTCTTGGAGGAGACATCGCTGCAGCCGGTTATCCGAAACCGAGGCTGTGTTGTTGGAAAGCCACCCCGAGTGAAGTCTTGGCTATTTGGAACGTGGACCCATGGAGGCACTCAAGGCTTGTCGAAACTCTGCGAGCAAAGCCCGGTTCTGACCAAGCTCCTCAACGCGTATCTGAGGCAACAGATCCCAGGAGGAGTTTGGACTACCATCATGGTCAATCATGACGTTGCCTTTTCTCCGCACAAGGATAACTTCAACATGCCGAACACGCAGAACCATGCCATTTGTTTGGCTTCTGAGGAGGAGATGCATGGTGGAGAAATCTGGGTTGGAGACGGCATTGGCGGTAGCACTCGATACGTCAAGCCTGGTTTAGAGGTAACTGGGACTCTGCATGATGTGCGACAGAAACCGTTAACCTTTTCGCCGAAAACCTGGCATGGTACAGAGGAGTGGGAAGGGAAACGCATGATGGTGTTGGCACACTCTTCGCGAGGAGCTAATTGGCTGTCGCCGGAGGAGTTGGAGCGGTTGCACACGTTGGGTTTTCCAATGCCACATGACATGGTGTTGAAGGCGCTACGCAGCAGCCAAGCACAACCAAGCACTAACAACACGAGTATCAACCACGACCCCCACAACCCGAACGAAAACGAACCTAAGGAACCAAACGAGTTTCAGGGTGTTCAGGGCCTTCAGGGTGTTCAGGGAACTCAGGGTCTTGGGCACAGTGAGTTTTGGAAGGAGGTTTGTGGGATGTCGGTTTCGTATGCGGATAAAAGGGGACAGGACGAGCTAGTTCAAGGGTTTGCGAAGTTGGGAGAAGTTGTAGATTTGATCGACGCGCCATGGCCGCCTGAACCGGACCTGATAGACTTGACAGGGGATTCAGGCCCCGAAGACATCGTTGAGGAGGAGCCTGTAGCAAGTGTCGAGCCTGAACCCCCAGGACGAGCGGAAAAGCAAAAACCAGGACATACGCTGGAAGACTTCCAGGAACGCGGTTTGCGACGGCCTCATCGGCGAATCTCAGCTCAAATGGTTGCGGAGGGAGTTTTGTCGATAGATTTGGCTGGGCCCTATCATGTTGGATATGGGAACGCAAAATACATGCTGGTTGCAGTTTTCAGGGTCAGTGAAGACGTGCTGTTGCAATTTGCGAAGCCAATGGCAAGAAGAACGTGGACAGAGCTGCTTGACAAGCTACAACAGGTGTTGGCGCATGTTGCTTCGATGAGTGGCGGCAGGCCTGAGGTGGTTCGCGTCCATTCAGACAGGGCAAAATAATTTCTGGCAGAAAAAGTTGTGGCCGGTATTAACAGCCTGGGCATCTACAAAACTACGACGTGTGGGTATGACCCGCAGGCTAACGGCCTAGCTGAGCGGTGCGTTGGACAGTTGAAGGAAAGAGCCAGGGGCTTCATTATCAAAGGGCGGCTAGATTCGTTCTACTGGCCTTTGATGATGGAGGAAGCTGCTCGAAGACAGCGCGATGAGATGCTGGGTATCCGGTCGCAGGGCAAGCTGCCAAAACCTGGAGATGCGGTGGCGGTCACTGTTCAAGGCGCCGAACCTTTTGAGCCCCGTGCTGAGAAGGGCATTTACCTAGCGCAGTGTGATGAGGTGCCAAGCGGAGCTCGAGTGCAGGTACAGCGAAACGGCCGGAACCATGTGGTGATCACGCGGCTTCCGGCAATCCTGGACAACGTGAGCAGCAGTTGGAGAACACACACCACACCGATGGGCGATTTGGCTTGGGTGAGCAACACCGGAGAAACCCGTGATGGGGACGCTGTTCGAGACCTTGGTTTGGACCTGGGGCTTTTAACGGTGGAGGAGCGTGGTATGGGCGAGAGTGCGATCGAAGGCCGACCTTTTGTGGCAACTTTGAAAGGGGCTGGAAGCAATCCAACTCAGGACAGGTGCCAGATTCTGCCCCATGAGCTGGAGCAGGAGATCAACAACAGCGAGCGCAGGGCCCAGGTAAAAGCAGTTCAGCTAGTTACTGACACCGTGGATGCAAGGGTTTTGACAGACCCTCAGACATCGCCTGAGGAGCTGGAAAAATGGATTCGGGATGGCCTGCAACCGGAGCTGGCAAAGCTGCGGGAGAAGGACATCTTCGAAGAGATGCCTGTGTCACAGGTGCCGTCTGGTGCAAAAATCCTGCCCGCCAAAGTTGTGCTGACAAAGAAACCCCAGGATCCGGGTAGTGTGGATGCTGGGGATCCTCTGTCGGAGTGGCGAGCCAAGGCCCGCGTTGTGGCTTGTGGCAACCATGAGCAAGGGACGTTTGGGCATGATCCGGAGAACACCTCGACGAATCCTTCGATCGAGGCCATACGCTGGAGCGCTTCTTGTCTGGCGCGGAACCCCGACTGGACGGGTTTAGTGCTGGATGTTACTGCTGCATTTCTCAACGCGGAGATGGACGACGACCAGACCTTCGTGAGACCTCCTGGAGTTTTGTCCAGAGTGGGGTTGCAGGAAGAAGGGAAAGTTTGGCGCTTGAGGAAAGTGTTATATGGTTTGCGGAAAGGGCCCCGGCTGTGGGAGGCCTGTAGGAATGGAGAGCTGAACGGCAAACGCTTTGGTGTGGCTGGCCACGAATATTGGTTGGATCCCCTGGACTCTGGTGTGTGGGCAGTTCGTGATGCCGTGGATTCGGGAAGCTTCCATGGCATTTTCGATATGTACGTAGATGATGGGTTGATTGTTGGACCCATTGGTATGTGCAGGGCCCTGGCGGAGATGCTGGTAACATTGTGGGAACTCAAACTTCAGGGTTTTCTGGAGTGCAACGAGCTGCAATGTGGGCAAACAGTACAAGTTGGGGACACAGCGGTCAAGGTACAGAGCGAAGTTCCTTTTCTTGGGATGGTTATTCGCCGGAGCCATGAGGGTGTATGGTTACATCAGAATCCATGGGTGCAGTCAGAGCTAGCCAAGAGAGGCTGGGAGTGCATGCGTGGGTCTATGTCATTGCCTGAGATCATAGAAGGGCAAACAGAGCCTGTGGTTCGAGATGAAGCCTATGGCGCCGACCTCCTCCAGGCCCAGTCACAGGTGGGTTCGCTGTTTTGGCTAGGGTTGAGAACACGTCCAGACATCCTGGCGACAGTGGGGGCGTTGTCGTGTATGTCTACAGTAGACCCTCGCAAAACTGTAAAACTTGCTGCGGCCTGTTGGAAGTATGTTGCTGGCACTCGTGATTTTGCACTTTTCTATGAGGCGATAGGGACTGGGCTACAAGATATTTTGCATTTGTATGGCGATGCTTCTTTGGCACCCGGGGCCTCGAGATCGCGAACGGGCAGCATAGTACAGTATGGGCCACACACAATAGCCTTCAAGACTCAGCGACAATCCCTCACAGCTTTTAGCGCTTTTGAGGCAGAAGTCGAGGCGAGTGCGACGACGTACCAGGTTGGTTCTAAGTTGCGAGAATTTATTCAGGCAGCACTGGGATACAAACTGCAGACGATCCTGTACGGAGATAACTCTGCGTGCATTGGGAACCTGATGCGGGGCTCTGAGTACGTGCAGCCGGCTCGAACTAGGCACTTTGGGATGCGCTGTGCTTATCTGAGGGACCACCTGAAGGCAGACAACATTCAGGTTCAGCATCTTGGTGGTGATAAGCTACCTGCAAATGGGTTGACTAAGACGCTTGCGAAAACTAAGCTAGAGTTGGCCAGAGAACAGATGTGTGTTCGGCGCCTGTCCTTGTAGGTATTAAATTGGGGGTGTCTGGCTTCTGTGGAGGGTGACACCATTTTTTGCCCCGGCCGAAGGAATAGTCCAGCCGGTGACAATCCTGTTGCTTGGCGCAGGCTCAGGTGGGCTAGCCGCGGGAACCGCAGCTGGCCCAAGGAGGAGTGTGAAAGCATGAGCTTCCCTGCGCAAGAATGACACACACCGGGCCGCATGGCTCAAGATGACACGTACAAAGGCAGTGGCTCCTTGGGATGTGGGTTTGGGTTTGGTTTTGGAGATTTCAGAGGTTCTGTGTTGTGGGACCCCGTGAGGCCTTTGGGGTTTTGCTGAGGCCCGGGGTGGGCCATGTCAGCATACAACCCTTTAGACGATACGCCCCACAGCATAAGGCAGGCCCTGAGCAGTCCCGCCCCCAGCCACTTCTCTTTAGTTCAGTCGTCACCAGAGGGTAATCAACAGTTTCTTCTTGCATCTGCCTCACACAGGTTTGACAAACAGCTCAGCGAGAACTTGCGCAGAACGCTTGAAACGTTGGCCCGATCGCTTGGGGCATGATTTGTCAAAAAAGTGCACGGTGCTGCTGCAGACAGTCGTAGAATCCTACTCTCCAATCATGTCAGGCGACGCACGAGATGCAAAACTTTGGCTACTTGGCTCTGTTGCAGCATGAGGGGCCTGGCATCCGCCATTGGCATTTGAACTCCGCGATTTCATTGCCCCAAATTGGAAGCAGCGTCGCAAGACAAAGGCATGCGAAGGCAAGTTGCAGGCTCCCCGCCCACTCTGGTTGATGGTGCGTTGGTCACCTGCTGGATGCATACCGCGTGCCTTTTCTCCGTGCATATCCCTGCTTATCAAGCATGCCCATAAAGGAGTGGTCATCCATGGCCATGTCGTCATTCACATGTCTGGAAGCCAAGGTCTGTGGGAAACACATCGACAGCTTTTGGTTGACAGGCGTCCCAGATCCGCAAGAAATTCCATCAGCCGCAGACATGTCGAGCTTGCAAATGCTTCTTTTCAGAGCGTTGCTCCAACTTCGCGCAATTCGGCCGCTTGCGTGGCTCCTTGCAAAGTTTCGGCACAAGCCGTTTGTGCGAGGCTTGGCCCTGCAGGCACCGCGGTCGACTGCCCGACTTCTGGATGTTTGAGTGCGAAGCTTGGGGCAGCTTCGTTGTCAAAGCCTCAAAGGCTGTAAGTCGGGCAGCCCGCTTTGACATGACGTCGTTCGCTGACATCCGCGAGCCTAGTAAAACATAACTATCTCTTTTCGGTCTGGCGCAGCTTTGCTGGCAGACATGTTCAGCTCCGAAATCCGTAGATCGCAGAGCTGTGCTTTATCAGCTGGACAAGAAAAAGCTGCAAAGAGAAATTAATTAAGGCTACAACGTGCGCTTGAATGCACTGTCCGCCACTGTACACCCTCCACATTGCACTGCAGCCGCGCGGACGAGTCTGCAATCCTCTCAATGACTCAATCGATGCGATCCACCTGGAGTGCCGTGAGCAGCACGGACACGGGCTGGTCGGCGAGAAGCTGGTCCAGCTGGACCTCCGCACCGATGTTCTTCAGCTGCTGCTGGAAGTCAATGGCCAAGGCAGAGTCGAGGCCCTGGTCCAGGAGTGATGCCTCCACGTCCAAAGTCGGAAGATCCTTGCGGAAGATCCGCAGCATGCCCTCCGACAAGGGCCCTCCTGAAGTCGTCGGGCGCGCCCCGGCCCCACAGACGGCCGAGCCCGCTGCACTCGGGTTCACGGCCACCGGCACCTCTGCCAGCGGCGCCTCTGCCGACGCCCCTGCTGGGATTGCCTCCCTTGTCGAGGCTGCCCTCACCGGGACCTTCTCGTCCTCCGCGCTGGGCTCGTGTGCTGCAGATGGTGTGCCTGGCTCTTCGAGGCCATACCTCGCCATGACGGTCCGGAAGCGGCCCGCCACGGGAGGTTTGCTCGCCAGCGAGAGCGTTGGCAGCTTCTCCCGGTCGAAGGTGGCGACGGTCAGCATCGGGAGCCCCGAGCGCAGCGCGGCCTCGAACATGAGATCGATGGTCGCAACGTTGATGGCAGCGAAGCCCCTCGTCTCCTCCAGCTGCTTCTGGAGACGCTTCTGGTCGTGCATGATGCCCACCTGCCGCGCATCAGACTGGAGCTAGGACAAATCGACGCTTCGAGAAGCTGGGGCCACGGCATTCGCGAGAACGGTCCAGTTGATGACTTGGCAGGTGCCGTTCCACCGCGCCAGCGCTTGCCAGCAGCCCAGATCGGCCTGAAATCCATTGGCTCCTCGATGGTTTTGCCAACTTCAAGTCGTCTGAAACTGCTTGTACTGACTTGAGACAAGGGGTGGTGAGAGAAAAAACTCAATACAAGCGAGCGTTTGGAGGGCTTGTTCAGAGCTGGTTCGCGTGAAACTCTGTTTCAGGTTGCATCAGGACATTGTCAAGTCGGACTCGGAGCGGCATACAGGAAGAAAGCAGGCCTGTTGAGACCAGGCGTCACAGGCAAGGGCCGTGGAGTTTGGAAGCGAAAGGTGAAAAACAAGGCTTCGAAAAGAGGAGGGTTCTAGTTTTGCCATATCACGCCTTTTTTTGCTGCAAATTGGAATACTTCATGCTGTTGCTTTCTGCGGCCTTGGGTGCAGTCTGTCTGCGAGCCTCTTGGTAGGGGACTCTACCAGGCCTTAGGGAAAACCGGTGTGTCCAGCTCGCTCATGTTCTCAGGTGTGCGAAACACCAACGCGTGTCTCCAACCCAGGGAGCAGGAGCCCAATACCCCTTAGTGAAGGAATATACCTTAACTCATATGGAGATTCCTAACATGATTTAAACTTAAGGTATAGTCCTGAACTAAGGGGTATTGGGCTCTCTGGGAAATGCTCAACGCCTTTGTGGCAGTCCTCCGTATGCCACTTGCCCCAGGTTTCCCAGCGCAACCACCACGGAGGAGTCGTAGACCACAAGATCCAGTTCCCACTCCCTCTTCTGGGCTAAGCCCAGGAGATCCAGACTGCCTTTCAGCTTTGGCTTCAGCGTCCTCTCGAAGTCCTCGTCACTGACATTCTGGAAGAGCTTGTCGCCGTCGAAGCTCGCAGCACCGTGGAAGATGCCACGGACATCCTTGTCGAGGATGCCAGCCTTGTTCAGGGCTTCTCCCAAGGCCGCCTGATCTGTCACATCAGCCTGGACCGGAATCACCTCGGTGCCGCAGTGCTGCATCTCCGACATCAGAGCGCGGAAAGCTTCGTCGGCAGGACTTCTTCCCACGACGACCAGCTTCGAGGCCCCCATCCTCGCCAGCACCCGCACCTTGACCGCGCTGAAGCTGTTCCCCTTGGCACCACCCGTGAGCAAGTAGACGCCATCCTTCCTTAGTCCAACAGACTTCACGCAACTTGTCAGCTGTCGCCAGGCGGCAAGCTCACATGGATGCATTTGTGGTCACAAATGCACGTGCCATCGCACAGCCAGGTACAGGACCCAGGACCGCTACAAGCACAAGCCCCATATGACTCGAAAAACACAGGCCCTCCCTTACACACGATATCACACGATATCATACGATGTTGCGCAGGCAAGTCTCCGCACCGGGTTGGTCCCTCGCAGTCTGTCGTAGCTGACGCTGAGTGGGAGAAGTTCGAGGCGGTGCGGCTGCCCATCGCGGATCAGTAGTTCGGTGCAGTCGTCACGTGGGCTCTGCATCTCCTTGACCAGGGTCGCGACGGTCTTGTCGCTCTCATCCGCTAGCTCGAAGCAGTGGACATCCACACCCTCGTTCACGAGAGACTTCACCATGCCCACAAACATGCCCTGTCCCACCTCCCTTCGGCCGGAGCCTCTGAGATCCGTTCTTGCCTCTGACAGCTCTGTGAAATCTGCGAACTGCGGGCTGTTCTTGGTGATGACCAGGAAGTGGACCCTCTTGTTGCGGTTGGCCCAGCGCAACAGCTTGCAAAAGCTGTCAGCCTGTTCCCTGAGCTGGTCATACAACACCTGCACCACAGCTGGGGTGAGATGCTCTTGCTGCGGGTCAATTCCCTGGGTCTCGAAGATGACCCACTGCAGCTCCTCCGGTTTCACCCCGGCCCGCTGCAGCTCCTTCGCCACCCGGAGAATCAAGCCCTCGCCTTGCGATCCTTGCGCGAGAGGAACCAAGATCATATCCTGCACAGGCCACAAGTCCTTCTCCAACACCTTCGTCATCACGGACTGCTCCGTGTAAAGGACCAGAGCCTTTCTGCCAGACCCTGTGGGCAACGCGGATGCAGCACGTGGCAAAGGTGTCGGCTTCACCTGCCAGGTCAGACGTTCCGGCGGCAGGGCATTGGACCCCATCAGCTTGCCGCGGACGTTATGCCCCTCTGCCACCAAAGTGCCATCTCCAGCAAAAAGCGCGAAAGAACCGCAAATGGTCGACTGCAAAAAGGGCTTCGCCTCCACTACTAGGACGAGACGGCGGTAGCGTGAGAACATGGCTGGGTGATACACGGTAAACTTCTCCACCATGGTTGGAAACGCGCCGTGGTCGGCAGCGCCGGGTGGAAGCTGCCACAGGCACAGTCCCAAGCAGGTCTGGATGGCCTGGTCGACAAGGACGGCGCCCGAGCTGGCATGTGGGTCGCTTGGGCAAAGGCCACCGACACACTGCACTGTTGACAGGCCAAAACACGACCCATCCTGGCCATGCTCCTGAACTCGGACCCGGCCCTGTATCGCCAAGTCCTCACCGAAGTGTAGTCCACCCTGCTCCAGCAAACGTCCGAGCTCCGTCGCCTGCACCTGCACCTCTCGGCACGACTGGCTTCGAAGCTGCTGCAGCAGTTGCTTCCACTCCTCCGGATGTCGGCTGTCGCAGTCAGGATCCAGAGCGCCTTCTGCAAGGTGAACCGTGAGGTCGGAGCTCTTGACGTAGAAGTGGCCCTCGTCGTTGCTGCGGTAACATACGCAGGCTGACCCTCCCTGAACGAAGCAAGGCTGGAGGAACCGGTACTCAAAGCTGCCATGCCCGGCCTCTATGAGATCCTTCAAGAAGACGGCTCCCGGAACCAAATAGTTGCCTTTGAAGAGATGCTGGTACAGGATGGGATCTGTTTTGAAATCCATCCAATGTTTTTCAACACCAGGGCTGGCAGCTGCGGCGCACTTGCTGCAAGCATCAGCCTCAGGCCCAGAGGCTCTGGGCTCAGGGGGTTTCACAGACACGGCCTGCGAGGCATCCTTCTGCTCCGCCTCGCACAGGGCGTCTTGCTTCTGGAAAGCCGGCTGGCGACAGAAGTGGGGTCGCGGCAAGTACCGGAGCTCGGGAGGAAAGTGCTGTGGTAAGACGTGCGGGAAGACACTGGATACATCCAAGGGCAGGCCCCACTCCCAGAGCTTGGCAATCGCTGCTGGTAGGCCTGAAGCTACGTCCACCTTCGGGTCGCTTAAAACCAGGACGTGGATCCGGTCCTTCATGCCGAGGTCCTCCGCTGCCGCCAGGATGCTCGGCACGTTCTGCCGCCGGAGCTCCACAAACACGATCGGCCGCTTGGTGGCCTGGTACTGCCTCAGAAGAGCCAGGCAGGGCTGTCGAAACAGCACAGGCTGCAAGGTGTGGCGCTTCCAGTAGTCGACAGTGAGCTCGGAAGCCTCGATCTTCCTGCCATGGACGGTGGAGAAAAAGTCACAGCAAAAGTCGCTGGCGGAGGGGCCATTTCGGTAGCGGTCCTGGAAGGCCTCAGCTGCTTTCTCGCACAGCCTTCCATGATGGTGGGCACGACTCACCTGCAAGGGCACCCAAACCCCCTCGCTTTGGTACTCCTCATCCACCAACGCCTTCACCTTCTCCAAAGACCCCGGCAGGCCGCTCACCGTGCAGGACTTCCGGCTGTTGTCCGCGGCGAGGTGAATTTCTTCTTGCACCCTGTCTGGAGGCAGCGTCGCATTGAAGGACTGCAGGATCTCCTTCACCTCCTCGGCGCTCTTCCGGATCACTGCCATGGCTCCTGCCTCGCCCTCATCAGGCCCGCCCACCTTGGCCAGGAATAGCTCCTTGGTCTGGTTGATGTCCAGCGCGCCAGCGGCATAGGCACAGGTCACCTCGCCCGCGCTGTGGCCTAGCACGGCATCCGGCCTCAGCCCGGCCTTGCAAAGCACATGAGTAGTGGTCAGGGAGTAGATGAACAACTGCGCCTGTTGACCGAAGGCGGACCGGTCCTGTCCGCTGGAGAGCTGCAGCCAGTCGACTTCGCCAGAACCTTCGCTAATCTTCTGCAAGACCTCGCGCGCTGCCGGGAATTCGGCCAGCAGCCTGGTCGACATCTCAGCTTGTTGGCAGCCGTTGCCAGGACAAACCAGCACCACCACGGGCTTTGCAGCCGGATCAGGCCCCTGGCAATCATCCAGCTGTTTCTCCAAATCCTCGTGACTTCTGGCGACGATGGCCCTGCGATGACGCAGGTCCGGGCCGGCGCCGCCACTGGCTCCCCGGACGTCGTGGCAGTGCTGCTGGCTCTGCCACGCGATCTGGGCCAGGCCGTCCGCGTCCAGCTTCGACGCTTTGGCCTTCACCTCCGCCATGCTCTCGGCCAGGCCGCTCTGCGTCGCGGCTGAGAACTGCACCAGACAGGGCAGCGCCTCACCGCACTGCGGGACCATTGCTGACGAAGGATGCGGAGACAAAAGTCAAAGAGAGGGGCTGCAGCGGCTAGAGTAAAGGTGGTGCAAGCGACAATGTGCCTTTGGGAAATTGTGCATGATCAACTCTTGCTCACATGCCACACTTCAATTCAAACTGCCAAGATGCAAACGCACTTTTGCCGACTTGCCGACCTGGTTTCCACCAACTGAGGGAAATCCGTTGCCCTGGAGGGGCATCGAGACCAGAACGGCCTCACAAGGAGACAGCAGCGAGGTTTGGAAACGTGCTGAGCCAGTCCTGATCCTGAAAGCCACAACACTGAGCAAGCTTAACTGGAATCTGTGCAACCTGAGTCGCCCTTTCAAACATGCTCAGCCAGCATTGCTTAGAACTGCACCTTTGCCACGGGGCCGGCATGGGCACCTCAGTGCCACAGCCACAGCTCCGAGAGCGCAGCAGAAAGAGCGTCAATTCTGTGCTTCCTGGGTCCAAGGCCGACGTCGCCCCATCGGCTCATGAGTCAGGCGGTTCTGCTAACTCATTGAATCCAAACTCTATAACACCTGCAATGGAGCATAAGATCGCTGTGTGCTTTTGGCTTGCCCCTGGAGGAAGGAGCGACAAGCTAGGTAAATGACAGCGACTGGCCACTGCCTTCCACAGTTTTCTACCAACTGCAAGCTGTCATCTTCAGCAATATTGTTGACCGTGCTCCTCAAAATCAGCTGGCCAGAGGACCTGCTTGCACCTGCACTCTGCATGAGAGACGGGCGGACGATGTTCACGCCAACTGCATGGGCATTTTCAGGGCTTTCAGCACCTTTCAGCGATTTTGTGTCCAGCACCTGTCCAATTATGGTGCTATAAAAAGGCCTTAATCGGCCCTGTTGCTGCTTTGTCAGCAAGACAAAATTGGTCTGACATTGGCTGCGGCTTTGCCGCTAAATCTGCCAAGACGCTGCAAAGAATTACAAAACGAGCCTGCGAACCCGCTGCAGCAACATGCTCGCCGAGCTCACTCTAGCTCGTGGCGGCGCGTGTTGCAACTGTACTCCATGCGAATCCTGCTTCTGGAAGCTGGAGTCCAGTAAACTACATCGACGGGATAGATGCGGGCATGCACATTGGTGCCAGAGAACCCGAAGCAGTTCACTCCGGCAGCCCTGGCACCCTCACGCAGCTGCTGACACTCAGTCGAGAGAATCAAATGCTCCTTCTGCTTGGTGGACAGGATTGACAGCTCCGGTGACCAGTGCCCCGCGCCATGGGGGCACATCGTTTGTTGTTGGACGACATTCACCATCTTGATGAGACCTGCAATGCCAGCGGTGGACTCGGTATGGTTGATATTCCCTTTCACACCGCCGATGCAGACTCGCTGGCTAACCATGTCACCTACACTGTTGACCTCCGTAGGATCCCCAACAGGCGTGCCGGTGCCATGGCACTCCACAGCTCCACAATCTGCGGCTTCAGACCGCCACACCATCCTCATGCATTCCAGTTGCTGGCTGGGAGAAGGGCGAGTGATAGGAGTGACAGACGCCCCATCGCTGTTCTGGGCGATGCCGCGGAGCTCCGCGAGTGGAGGGACAGCGAGATCAGCCCCCAGGTGCCGCATGGCCACAGCTCCCACTCCTTCGGCTCGTCCATAACCATTAGCTTTCATGCTGAACGGCTGGCATCGGCCACCTCGGACACCGCACAGCTTCAATATCGGACTCGAGAAACACATCCGCACGTTTGCTTAAGGCAAAAAGCACCGCTCGCGGTTTATGTGATCTGAGGAGGGCACTGATCATTCCTGCCTCCTTGAGTGCGATGGAGATCTTCGGTTCAAGAATGACATTGACTCCTCAGTTCTGCCCTTGTCTTGTAGTCTCTGCTTCACTAAAATGCAAGGCTGGGCAGTGCTGGCATACTCAAGTCAATCCTATTCAGTCCTATTCATCCTTTTCTTAGCATTGCACCAGGAAGACATGCTAGGGTGTAGGACCACATGTCGTACAAAGACAAGGCACCAACAGCTACAGCGCCGTCCCAGCCATAGCGAAGATTCATCTCGCCCATTGCAACGGCCGATAGCCCAGATGCACATGCCGTGTCCACCGCCGCGCTTGGCCCCGTGAAATGTAAAAAATACGAAACCTGACCACTGAGCATTGAAGATGCGTGGCCTTGGGCCATGTAAGCATTGCAGGTCTTTGGATGCCACCTTAGACGCTCGTATGAAGGCAACGCAGGACCCTGAGTCATGGACAGGCACCCAAACCTTGTACAATCCCACCCCTAAACCCCAAACCCTGGACATGCTCTAGGACGGGTCTGGCACGAAGGTCTTGCCACATTCTGGCTTCCCCTTGTCTGTTGCGCTCTTAGCTTGCAGATTGCACGACCATCCGGCACCTGCTGTTACTCAGTTGTCCCTTCATCTGGTCTGGGATATGGTCCTCCCCGCGTATAATCACACAGGGTATCTACCCAGCATCCCAGACCAGATTAAGGAGACCAGATTAAGGGACGACTGAGTTACGTAGGCATTTGGCCTGGCTGAGACCTTGACATGCGCAATATGGGCGAATGCTGCTACAGTGAGGTTGTGTAGCATGAGATGAATGAGAGTATTCAAAGCTACTGGTAATGCGTACGTTCACACTAAAGACTTGAGATGGCTGGAGCGATCGCTGCCAAGTAAATCCAAGCAGCTGAATGTTGCTGTCGAGATTCATGCTACCGACGTTGACGCCCACTTTCTGAAGCCGTACGGCCTGCTTCAGGAAACCTGCCTGGCTGCATGCCTCAAATGACGCCTCCAGCACCAAAGACTGCTGGGGATCGGCGACCTTGGCAAATCCTGAGCGGAGGCCGAAGAATTCGCAGTCCACGACGGAAGGGGAAGGAGCCAGGAAGCCGCCGCTGGTGGGGATGTTTGGATAGTCATGGATGTCCCAGCGGTCGGCGGGCACCGGAGTGATGCAATCCACGTTTCTCATCAACATGTCTGCAATGTTGTGGGTCTCCATCCCAGCAGGCAAGCGGCATGCCACACCCTGAATGGCAATGCTCAGGTGCGGCAGCTCTCGGAGCTGTCTCAGTCCGGCAAACTCCTCGATCAACGTGCCGTCGCACTGGTTCTCCGACTCCTCCAGGTCCTGCATGGATGTCGCAAGCTTTCGATGTTATCAAGAGCAGCAACCATCTGCAGTCTGATTTACTGCGCCTTCACCGGGATGCTTCGTAGAGTATTCGACATCTCCAGTGCCTGCAGGACAAAGCTAGCGAGCCGCAAGCTGATAACCCACAGCATGGGACCTGCATGGGGTACACTGCCAAAGTGCATTGCGGCCTTGTCAGTCGCAGAATGGACAACCCTTGCAGGAGGCGCGCGCTCCGAGCTTAAATGCTGCAGGAGTGTACGGGATTGCGGAAATGCTACCACCCCTGAGGTAGTTGGTCACGGCCCAACCCGTAGGCCAAGTCCAAGTGAACACTCGCAATGCAAGCTAGCAACGCGTCACCGTGCAAATGCATGGGTGGATTTTCGTACTTTTGGTGGGGTCGCTGCAAGTACCGGGGCTCAGGATGAAAGAGCTGCGTCCACCTTCCGGCCTCTTAAAGCCAGGACGTGGATCGGTCCCTTCATGCCGAGGTCCTCCACCAGGATGCTCGGCACGTTCTGCCGCCGGAGCTCCACGAACAAGATCACACGATCGGCCTGCCAATGTCAGTAGCGGTCTTGGAAGGCCTCCACTGCTTTGTGGCACAGCCTCCCATAGCCTCGTGGCAGGCGCAGGGGCTCAGCAAGGCATGATGATGCGCTGGCAAGAACTCTTGCGCCTAGTCTGCTCGAAGGATGGCCGGTCAACCTGCTGGAGCAACACTCTAGACTCTAGTCTTACTTGCTAAACAGGCTCGCACGGGACGGTGGCTCAAAAGCGTCATTCCACTCTTCCAACTCGTTAACGGAGGATGACCGGCGGGGTGTCAGGACAGGTCAAACAAAAAGTCTTCGCTGAAGCGCTGTACACCGGAAAATTGAAGGAGTTTCGAGACTTGACAACTTGTCAAGTCGATAATTTAAAATCGGCACACTTCTGGTGTCAACACATGCACGGGATACCGACTTGACAGCACCAAACGACGTGCATCAGTCACCTCTAGGCCCAAAGCGCGGATGCACAAGGCGGGTTTTGTGGCAAAGGCTCCAACGTGGCGGGGAAAAACGGGGCAGCTATTCCCTCGGAATCGACTTGCGCGGCATGCTTGGCATCGTCTGGCGGCGAATCCCTACATGTCTCATATGAGGACTGCCGACGCCACTCCTCATACGAGTGCCGACAAGCCTTCAAATACTGCTCCGCAGTCCTCATGGGCCTGTTGTCAGCAGGCTCGGGGTTGTAGCTGGTGGCAGTTGCGAGTGAGATCGTCTGTGGCGAACCCGAGGCATGCAAGGCCACGGGCGCAGCAGCGACAGGCTGGTACGACGGGCCGGTCATGCCGAAGTACATGGGAACTTGCACCGCCGCCCATGCATTTTCCTTGCTGCGAGGCATGCGCTCATGCGGGAATATGCAGCTGTTGCCCCATCGGCACTCCTTGCCTGCACAGGCGCGCATTCACAACTGACATCAGAGCTGGGAAAAGGCTGTCCGCAACGTCCCGTCTTGTGAGGCATTTCGATTGCAGGATTCTAGGAATGAAACCAGAATGGGAGTATGCTGGAGCACCTAACTCACTGTACTTTAGCATCATGGGATCATATAAGCCATCGTGGGTGGGAGCAAAGAAGGGTGACACCTTTCCAATTCCAAGCCTTTCGAGACGAAGCTGCAACACCTGAGTCCCAGCTTGTTCACCTCACGGTCGTAATTTTTCTTCTGATCATCCGACCGCTCCCCAGGTAATGCGTAGTACTCGCAAATCAACTTGCAGAGCTTCTGCTCCAGGCCCTTGGGATGGCGCCTCTTTTGCACCGTCTCCTGCACCGCTCTCTCGGCGAAGGCCGGAACTACTGGCTGATCATTGAAGCGCTCCCCAGGTAATGCTTGCTCGTGGATTAGCCTGCGGAGCTCCTGCTCCCGGCCCTTGGTCAGGCCCCATTTTTTTACCGCCGCCCTGACGGGTCCTTTGAAGGCCGGGACCCGTAGCTCCTTAATTGTTCTTGGTGTCCTTGGAAAAATTACAGTTTCGGCTGCTGCTTAGGATTCTACAAAAAATAATTTAAAATAATTCCCAAGAGCAGATAAAGCTCTCGGCTGGTAGCATTCGACTGCAGCGCCTGCGCCGGAGCGGGAACTCCGTGGATGCCACGCGGCCCCTGCACCTCTTATTGGAACCCTTGTAAAAATTACAGTGCTAGCTGTTGCTTGGGATTTGCAGTAGCAAAACATAATTTTTTCCAAGAATAGCTGAGACCTGGTCATCTTTGCAGAGATCATGCAGGCCCCCAGCGATCCTGCGCCCGACGCTCTTCAGTTCCGTCAGATTTGTCGGGACCAACTTCAGAAAAATCACCAAGAAGAGGGCAACGCACAAACTGTGCAACAAGATCTGCAAGATCATCTCCAAGATCATGGCTCTGTGATGGTGCTTGGGAGTCTGAACAGCTACGTGGGGCAACATGGACATCTCTGCCGACAGCCGGGACATAGCTGTGACTTGCGGTGATGGCACATGCCCACCTCCCGCTTTCGAAAACGTGGGATGGCTCCAGTCCAGCTCTCTTTGATCTATCGTCCAGCCTGCTGGCCTCAGGAGAGCAACACAATACAAAACTCAAGATTCCACGGCAGCGCCGGTTTTGGCGCTGACCCGAGGTCACGCTGACTATTCAAACCTTTCACCAACCCATTGCTTGAGGACCTAGCCTGCCGGATCTAAGCAAATTGCGCGTCAAAGACTCCATACAGTTCCGAGTTCTATGGGATGGTGGGTCTCTTTTCTGTTGCCTCTATATCTTGGTATAGTCCCTACACATCCTAGTAAGACTTCCTATGTCACCAGCCTGCACAAGTCCTGAGAATCCGGGACAGCAGACCATAGCAGGGCTAGCAGTTGTTGCGTTTCTCGTGATGACTGCACTGCAACATCATTTTGAGGGAGATGGCATTCAATTCCGCCATCTGTTGTATGCTGTTGGCTAGTCAGCTCCTGATCCTCACCAAACCTTCTTTCAGTAAACTTGGGCGCAGACCTATAAGCCAACAGGCTTCTGCAATGCCCAATGCGAAGACAATGCCGGCGCACCTTACGTGGCAGCACCCATCCTCCTGCAAAACACAACAGCTCAACTTGAACCCTAAACCCTAGTCCTACACCACCTAAACCCTGAACCCTAAACCGTAAAATCTTATGAACAAAGCAGTGACTGCACAGAGCGCCTGGTTTTCCGTGGGAGTTCGGCCTATGGTCACCGTTTTTTCGAAGTTGTCATTATCTTGCATCATTCCTTGGTATTAGTTCCACTTCCTATTTCCCTTGATGGATTTGTTAACTTCATTTAAAACATAACAGGATTATACCTTTCTAGTAAATGTGAATTTTCCAAGAAAAAGAAACCACATGTCATTTACTGAATCCTTTTAATAGATCAAGGGGAGGAAATAATAATGAAGTGAGTGAAACGAATGGAAATAATGAGTGGAATTTTGTTTTCCCTTTCTACCTTTTTCAAGTTTTATTTTGCTCCAATAAAAATTTTTTACGGAAAATTTTAGGCCATTCTATGATTTTACAAACCTTACAAGCTACCACAAATCCTTAATAATTGATTCCTAAGAAATCAAGGAACAACCATGATGAACGGAAATTAATGTATTTTCTACGAGATCTCATTCCCATATTATGTCATCTTAATTTATTATTAGTGAATCGTTTACCGGTAACATTAGCGTTTAATGCTCCATTTTCACATCTAAGAAATCTCATGTTATCTTTTTATTAAAAGAATAGAATCCAAATGAACATAAACTCATTAATTACAACTTCTCAAAATTTTAAGTGGATGGATCCTGGATGATTTGCGACTAGAGTGACCAGACGTTTGGATGAATTTGAAACCTGGACTTGATGGCGGTTAGCCTGGTAGGTGGGGGTATACCTTCCCTCCCTTCCTGTCCCTTCTTGCCCTCCATCTCATTTTTTTGTGCTCTTCATGGACAAGA